TCACCTCCTGGCACCTCCATTTGCATTTTTATTGACTGCCTTTCTTGTCTGCATTCCATGCCAGGCCAGCCTCTGTCTTATCTACTATTCATTGCACATGCACACGCACACACCCCCTCAACCTCTGCAGGTGCTTCCTCAGCCTGACAAAGGGCATTTCAACCTGAAAGCTGGCATCCCAGGCAGCTAAGCTGAGCTCACCTGGAGCCTCATAACTCCACTGCAACCAGCAAGCCTCAGGCCTGTCAAAGGGGGCAGGCAAGCAATCCAGTCAGTGAAAATAGAAATGGAGGTGTCAGGGGGTGAGGGACAGGCTGGGGTAGTGGGCACTCGGGTAGTGTGCAAGGGGATGTAGCAGGTAAAAGTGGAGAGGTACCTGTGGAGTCGGATGTCTGGCAGGTTGTAGTGGGTCAGAATTCCAACGCTTATACTGAGTCCATGACCTTCTCTACCTAGAAGGTTGATTAGGTGGAGTTCATAGGTTCATCTGTGAGAAGTGGGGTGCAAATTCAAACAAGCACTAAACCTTGCTAACCTCATCATGCAGTTCATAGCCAACTTCCTACAGCCTAAGACACACTGAAGGGATCCAGACAAGGCTATGCCATGCCAAGAAATGCAAAACCTGCCAAAAATATTTCCAGTATGGAGATATCTCCACAATACAATACGTGTCTCCATCAGGGCACTAAGTGCCCTGATACAAAATAGATGGAGACACCAAGCAACAACTGCGCACCAGCATGAGCTCACACCAAAAATCTATCAAAGAAAACAACAGAATATCACCTGTTTCCAATCTCTCAGGCCTGATCCTCAAAGGGAATTTTACAAACCACTTTTCGCAGACAAGTCTATGAACTGCACTTAATCAGCATCCTTGGTAGTGGGTAGAGAAACTCATCGAATTAATATAGATATTAGAATTCTGACATGCTACAACCTGCCGTACATCTTACTCCCCGGGTACCTCTCCACTTCTACCTGCACTGCTACATCCCCCATCCAACCCCAACCCCAGGTTGTCCTTCACCCTCTGATGCCTCCACTTCCATTTTCAATGACTGGCTTTCTTGCCTGCATTGCATGCCAGGCCAGCCTCTGGCTTATCTACTATTCCTTGCACATGCACACGCACACCCCCCCTCACCCTCTGCAGGTGCTTCCTCAGCCTGACAAAGGGCATTTCAACCTGAAAGCTGGCATCCCAGGCAGCTAAGCTGAGCTCACCTGGAGCCTCATAACTCCACTGCAACCAGCAAGCCTCAGGCCTGTCAAAGACGTGATGGGCCTGGGCTTTCCCCAGCCTGGTGTGTGTTGGTTAGCTGGAGGCAATAAGGCATCTCCTACCCACCTTTCACCAGGGAGATCCTTGGTCTTGGCACTTCCTGGGCCTTCTTTTCCACCAGCAGTCCCATGAGGCTTCCTGACCCTGGCAGGGTGGCTTTAGTGGTCATGCCCAAGACCTGGGGTCTCCTTCTTCCCCATAGCCCTAGCCCATACCTCCAAGTTTATCCTGGCACGGGAGCTCAGCAGAGACATTTTCTTGCCCTGTTGGCTGGTGATGCAGTGAGTGCTGCCTCCAGCTCTGAGAGTGGGACATTAAATGGTTTTTAAAAAATGAAAAAAGGAAATGGGTGCACATGGAGTGAGGAGGGTGGCATTCACTCTGTCTGCACCTGGAGCTTGAGGACCCCCAGCAGCAGGAGGTTCACCATGAGGAACACCAGCTGCTCCACCAGACCAGGATCCAAGGAGCTGCAGTGGGGTGTCACTACATCCCCAGCAATGCTGAACACCCTTTTGATTGAAACGCTGGTTGGTGGATGGGACAGGTGTTCCTGGGCAACCGTGGCCAGATCTGGCCACATCTGGCTGTGGGTTGCCTAGTAGGCCAAGGGATCGCACAGCAGTGGCTCCACGTCCTCGGCGAGATAGGCAGCCACCAAGGCCTGAGCACTACCTGCCTGATGGTGGGGTCTGGTGCCTCTGGACCCCACCGTGGAAGTCATGCCCTTGGCCCACATTGGCAGCACCTGTGATGAAAGAGGAGACTGGCTGGTGGATGGCATGCTGGCACAGGACAGTGGATCCCTCTCTTCCACTTCCCCTGCCTCCGCCATTCTGCCTCCCTGACTCTTCACCAGCACCGCTGTCCTGTCCCCCTCCAAGGTGTCCCTGACAGTGAGGTAGATCTTGTGTGCCACGCAGCGGATGCCAACAAAGTTGGCATCACAGACCACCTTGACCATATTAGCCCCATTGTCAATGACCATGAACCCGCAGGTGAGCTCCCCCTGCCCAATGAGCCACCCCTGTACCTAGTGGTTCATGGCCCCTATTACGGTGACAATATTTAGAACTTGGGGAGCATTGGGTGTGCAGCTGAATAAAGGCTTTTTCCTGTGCCTCAGTAAAAGCTGCTGGTCACAAGGCAGGATGATATATTAGAAGTAACTAACTTTGCAAATGCTTGAGCAAGCAGTTTTCTAACAGTGGGATAGCATGCAGGATGCATGATTCCTTGTGTAAGAAGAACAAGATGCAGCCCGCTAGCTATTATCAGAAGATAAAGCAGAAGCAAAGCTTTGGAGATGGTGCTGAAGTTGGCAAGAAACCAGAAGAACCAGCAAGTGACTGAAAGAAGCGGAGGTCAAAGTCTTACGCATGCCGCTCTGATAAGAGTACATGTAAATTAATGAAATGCATAGGCAAGACCACGCTAATGAAGCAAACAGTAAACAGAGGCAGAGTTTAAGATGGGAGGAGAAACAGGTGGAACCGAAAGAGGGACGAAGGCAGAGTGGATGTTCATGAGTATGAGCCAAGGTGTATAAAATGTGAAAAAACTAATGTTCAGTGCTGCTCCCCAATTTCATAGGCTGTGTGTCTGTGAGGGAGCTCGCCTGAAACTGTCTCTGTTCTGAATAAAGCTGTTGTGAGCAATATGTGCTGGTGTTTGCTCCCTGCTTGCTCTGCCTAATGAGTACCAGGATCCATGAGCAATTGGATCGTCATCTCCCTAGTCATTGGGCACCGCATGGAGTCGGGGTCTAACAGCCCCCATGATCTCTGTTGCCGTGTGGGACTCATCCATCACCTTGGCTTGAAGGAGAGCCCACCGATGGCCTGACTGGTCACCCCAGTGCCCTGTGAGGGAGAGAAATGCATTATCTCCACCCCAGCTGCTCCAGATGTCTGAGGTGAAGTGTAAGGCCACCTGCAGTCCTGCCTTGTGCAGCTCCTCCCTCAAATACTCCCTGCATGCTTCATACAGGGAGGGCACCACCATCCTGCTGACGCCATGCATGCATGTACTTTGTATGATGGCATTATGAGTGCCATGAGCCACCTGAACTCTGACTCCTCAACTAAGGAAAAAGGCTGACCATCCACAGCAAGCATCTCCCCAGTGGTCTGGGTGATCTTGCTCACCTTTGCAATGCACCACTGTTTCTGTCTCCCTTTCCTCCAGTGTTCCAGGGTGGCCTGCCTCTGCTTGGTGGGGATGGGGACTTTGGAGTGAGAGGGGGACTTTCCTTTGGGCACGCTCCTGCTGGTGCCAGGCTGAGGAGGAGCAAGGGCAAGGAGGTGGTGCCTGTAGAGATGCATCAGCATACCTCTGTTGCTCACGTGTTTTGTTCCCTTTCCCCATCTCGTTTTGGCTCAGCAGTGCAGGCAGATAGCAGATGTGGGATCATCTGCCATCTCAAAATAATCCCAGACCTCACTACCTGCTTGCTTCTGGGGCGTGGGTGTATTTGTGGATGCTGCAATTTCCCCCTCCTCAGCAGGCAGAGGTACAGCTACAGGAGAAGGGGACTCAGCTGAGATGCTTGCCTCTGCACCCTCTACCTCAACTTCCCCCTTAGTGCCTTCTGGGGAAGGAGACCTGGGTCTAAGGGGAGCTTGAGGGGTGTGGAGCACAGCTGATTTCCCAGAATTACCTTTGCTATGGAACTCAGATCCAGCTCTTCTTCTGGCACTGGAAGGCTCAGCATGGGAAGTGAAATGGGGGTGGAGGGGACTCATGCTTGTGTTGGTGCTTGTTGTCATGGTAGTGGTGGGGAGGGGTTATGGCTGGTGCTTTTGGATGGAGTGCAGACTCGGGCACAGGCAGTGGAGCTGCTCCCCTCTCCTTCCTGCTTCTGGAAACCTCATGCCTGCCTTGTTGTAGGAAAGAGGCTCCGTCTTAGTTTGCAGGGGCGGGAACTTACAGCTCTCCCTGTACCCCCTCTTCCACTCCTCCCAGAAGGCTTGCTAGCTGTCTTTCCACCACACTTCATGGTGGTTCTTTGTGTGTTCCTATATAAATTCTATATTACCTTGTGGCATATTATATCTCCCTTCCTATATGATTTCTACATTATAATTTGTTGCCAGATATTTTTTTCTATACATTTATATAAGCATGTCTTCCTATATAAGTTCTATCGTGTAATGTCCCATATAATTATACAATTGAAAAGAATAAATCAATTAATATAATAATAAAATAAATGGTTCTAGAAGAAAGGAAAAGATATTGTGGAATCCTACTTGCTAGACTAGCAAGTAAGAAATCATTGAAATCAATGGTAGTAGTAGCCTTCATTGTCTGATGCTCCTGAGCTGCTGGAAGATAGTTCAGTAACTGTCAGACCCCAAGGCAGAAAGCAGGGCAGTTCAAATAATGCTGCTTTTTATGCTGCTTTTTCCATCCCTCCCCCAGGGCACTGGGATTGGAAGGGACCTTGGGGAAGGATCACAGTCACTGACCAGCTACACAGTCAATATGAGACCAATCCTTTCCCCCTCCGTCTCCTTACTTTCCCTGAAGGCAAGCCCAGATTGAGCTTCAAAACTCAAAATAGATTTTGAAACTTTCAAAATGTTTTGACTGCCCTCATTTCATTTTGAGGGTGTTTTGAAGCCCTTCATTTCATTTAGATTTCACTGCTTTGAGGTCAAAACAGCTGGTGAAATTTTACATAACCCTATTGGACACTACTAGTTTACAAGGTTGTGCTTAACAGAACTTTTTGTCATCTTTAGTTCAAGACTCTGCACTCCTTTTTGCCAGACCCACATGCTATGAGTTTGCTACGTTTTGGAAATCTAAGTACTAAGAATGTATGTTTTATTTATAAAGAGCCCCTGTTGAGGTCAAGGAATAGGAGGTGAGATACTTATTTGCATATAAATTATGTAAGAAGTACCTATGCATGCAATTCTATTCACTTCCTCAAAAATGTAGTTTAGGAGGTATTTTGTTTCAGGATTCTGTGTGGATTTAGGATGAATGAAGGTCTAGTGTTCAACTGGCTAGTTTAGACTCTATCTGCAGTGTTTAGTTTGAGATCTCACGTTATACTGAGACCTTCTGAAGGTCTTTAGATTTCTATTTTTAACTGGATTTAGGAACCAAAATAGCTAAAGGATCTGGGCTTTAGAACAGTGGTGGGTTTTCAGTCTTGGGCTTTGAAAAAATGTATTTATTTTAAGGGTAGGTAGCAAGGGCTTTGTCTTTCTACCCACCAGTACACCATAACGTGGTGGTGGTTGTTACTGTTGTTTAATTTTTTTGCAGGGATTACCCATTGCTCTGAGGCAAACTACTAGGGAAATATGATCAGCTGCTGCCTATAGTATGCAATTCCAACATAACTTTGAATTGAAGGCACCTTCCAATAACAATTCTATTAGAAAATTATACATTGTTATATAGTCTAAGTGTAACATGTAACTTCACCCTAACACTAGGCTTTTTCCCCTGCACATTGGATTGTGGGGGGCAGAGGGGATTTTGTCTTGGATTACAGTAAATACTGTAGGTTGTCCCTTGTCTGTAGATAAATGGAAGATTTAAGTATTGAGAGTTGTCAGTCCAAAACCTTTTGCAGATATCAAATGCACTTAGATGAGAATCAGTTTTTGGTGACCTAATAAATGTATAGTAAAGTGAGAAAAGTTGTTTCATATCTGCTGCTGATCAGCACTCTTTTACTACCATGTTGTTTTGAGTATTTGGTAGAAAGAAATATTACCAACATTTCTCATTTTGAAGAAGTTCTAATAAAAGTACGCTCAGTAATCTGCATCAAAGCTGATTTATGTGATTGTTGCTCATCACTTTAATATCATTCCTATTCAATACCTTATATGCCATTATTTTTCACAGGCTGAATACTGGTGTACTTCTTTCTAGGAAAGACCTCAAGATAACTACTTCAAGGATGATGATGTTTTTGAAAGTCTTACTCAGATCTAATAGGAACTATCTTCAGTCTCCAGTGTGATACTTGGGAATCTTAAGGTAATATGAACTCTTATGACTCAAGCTTTCATGTAAAATTTGAGGCACTTTTACTGCATCTCTTCAGTGCAGCCACACTAGAAGAACCTTTCAGGAAATTCCAGAACTGTTGGGTTCAGTACCATACCAGTATAAGTAGGCTTGGCAGAATTCAATCTTTACTTTAAAAATAATGTTGACATCTAAAAACAATGTTTGTTTTTAGGCAGACAAGGTTCTTTGGGTGAATCTGATATCTTTTATTAGAACAACTTAAATAGTTGGAATGTTTTAGCAAGTTTTTGGGTTTAAAGCCCCTTCATCAGGCTGAGGAAGTCTCTGCAGTTGGTGTGTGCTCTTCCTGGATGGAATGAATAGTAAAGAAGCCAGAGGCTGGGCTGGTAAGCATGCAAAACAGGCCGTCAGTGAAGAAGTAAATTGAGGAGTCAGTGGGTGAGAGACAGGCTGGGTGCGGGGGGGGAAGGGAGAAAGGGGATGAATGTAGCAGTTAAGTAATGGAATGGTACCTGGGGAGTCAGATGTCAGGCAAGTTATAATGGGTCATAAAACTAATGTTTATATATGGTTCATGGTTTTGTATCCAGGAGGTTGAAGTGAGATTCATAGGCTCATCTCTGAGAAGTGTTTTGTAAGTGTGTGTGTGTGTGTTTTTCTTTCCTTTTGAGGATTAGAACTGAGAGACTGGAGAGAGAGAGAGAGAGAGAGAGAGAGAGTGGTTTTCTTGTGAAAAATGTGCTCCACCTGTAATTGTGTATTTTCGTCTTTGACTGCACACCGGAAATCTATCATTCTGGTGCACAGTTGTTGTTTAGTCTCTCCTACATATCTTCCATTGAGGCATTTGGTGCATTGGATGAGAGAGATTACATTTCTGGAGGTGAAGCTGTTAAGATGCAGGGAAAAGTCCTTTTCAAGTACATTGGGAGCAAGAAGAGGGCACCAGGCAATGTAGGGCCCCTGCAAGATGCAAAAGGTAATCTTGTGGCTACACCAGATGAGAGAGCTGATATTTTTAACAGTTTCTTTGCCTCTGTTTTCTTGAACAGGGACCGGGATATCCCACCTAACAGAAGTAGGGACAATCTTGGGGATAGCTCTGTCAGGCCTTCAGTCAGTGCAGATGGAGTTAGGGATCTTCTGGAAGGGCTAGACATTTTTAAATCTGCAGGTCCAGATGCCTTCCACCCAAGGGTGTTGAGGGAGCTGGCAGGGGTCATTGCGGAGCCCTTGGTCCGGCTGTATGAGCATTCGTGGTCATCTGGCCAGGTGCCAAGGGATTGGAAACTGGCTAATGTGGTCCCAATTTTCAACAAAGGGAGGAAGGAGGACCCAAGTAACTATAGGCCTGTAAGCCTCACCTCGGTGCTCGGGAAGATCTTGGAGAGAATCATCAAGGAGCACATCTGTGGGGGGCCTGCAGGGGAGATCATGCTCAGGGGCAATCAGCATGGGTTCATCAAAGGCAGGTCCATCCAGACCAACCTGATTGCCTTTTATGACCAAGTAACTAAATCCTTGGATGATGGTGTCACCGTGGACATAGTCTTTCTAGACTTTAAGAAGGCCTTTGACACCGTCTCTCACCCCATCCTCATCAATAAATTAAGCGACTGTGGCATTGATGCCTGCACAGTTGGATGGGTAAAAAATTGGCTGATGGGGCGCACCCAGAGAGTAGTGGTGGACAGGTTGTACTCAACCTATTGAGATGTGAGCAGTGGGGTACCCCAGGGCTCGGTCCTTGGGCCTGCACTGTTTAACATCTTCATCAGCGACTTGGACGAGGGGGTGGAAAGCACGCTGTCCAAGTTTGCTGATGACGCTAAGATGTGGGGCGAGGTGGACACACTTGAAAGGAGAGAGAGGCTGCAACTAGATTTAGACAGACTACAAAAGTGGGCAGACGAGAATAGGATGGGGTTCAACGTAAACAAATGCAGGGTGCTGCACCTTGGGAGAAGGAATCCACAGCATACATGCAGGCTGGGGAGTTCCCTTCTTGAAAGTGCACAGGTGGAAAGGGATCTTGGATTCGTTATTGACTCCAAGATGAACATGAGCTGCCAATGTCAGACCGCAGCCAGCAAGGCCAGCCATACCTTGTCATGCATCCAAAAGTGCATCTCAAGCCGGTCCAGAGAGGTGATACTCCCCCTCTATGCGAATTTAGTGAGGCCTCATTTGGAGTACTGTGTCCAGTTCTGGGCACCACACTTGAAAAGGGATGTGGCCAGCTTGGAGAGGGTTCAGAAGAGGTCCATCCACTTGGTGAAAGGGCAGCAGGAGAGACTGAGGGATCTGAACCTGTTCAGCCTCAGCAAGAGGAAGCTGACGGGGGACCTGGTGGCTGCCTACAAACTCATCAGGGGAGATCAACAGCAAATAGGTAGAGCCCTTTTCTCCCCAGCACCGCCCGGGGTGACAAGGAACAATGGTAATAAGCTGATGGAGAATAGGTTTAGGTTGGAGATCAGAAGGCAATATTTTACAGTTAGGGTGGCCAAAATCTGGAGCCAACTTCCCAGGGAAGTGGTCCCCGCCCCTACCTTGGGTAAATTCAAGAGGAGATTGGACGATCACCTGTCTGGGGTCTTGTGAACCCAGCATTCATTCCTGCCTGTGGCAGGGGGGCAAGATGATCTGTTTAGGTTCCTCCTGACCCTAGCTACTATGATACAATGATACTATGATGGCTCTGTTGTGGGGTGTAGTAACTGTGGGGGCGGTGGAGACGTGTTGGCAGGTTTTTTGCTTGCCATGGCATGGTCTGGATCCATTTGGCATGTTCTGGGCCTGAGGAAGTTTGCTTCTGGTGATGAGTTTAGTGAGGTTCGGTGCTTGTTTAAAGGCTAGAATGGGTGGTTCTGGGAAAGTCTCTTAAAGAATAGGGTCTCTTTCTACTATGGGCTGCAATTGTTTGAGGATTTTCCATATGGGTTTGAGGGAGGGGTGATATGTCATAACCAGTGGTGTGCGATTTTTGTGGGGATTTTCCTTTTGCACTGCACTAATTCTTCACTTGGTATCAAGGTAGCTCTTGCACATGTGTGATCTATCTCTCTGGAGAAGCGTCCTTGTTGGGTGAAAGCCTTTTTAAGATTGGTGAGGTGGCAATCCCGGGTGTTCTCTTTGGCTCTGTGTGTGTGTGTATTTAGCGTTTATTTCAATGTTTATCTATTTTAAAATTTTCAGGGTTGCACAAAATTAGGGATAGAGTACTCTTCCCTCCTCCCTGCCCTAAAAGAGTCCTCTTGCACTGCAGGACACTGATGGCCACAAAGCAAATTCTGCTCTCACTTGTATCTCCAGCAGTTGTACTGAAGCCAAAAGGGATGCAAAGGGCATGTGTGAGGACAGAACTAGCCTCAGTAGACAGATATAATATCTAAGACTGCAGTATGGGTGCAGCTTTCAGACCATGGGGAGCTGTGTCAAAGCTGTGCAACCTCCAGCTGTGCCCCTGCTGTAACTGGGAGGCAGGGGGTAGCAGACTTGATCTGGCCTGTGGACCGTATGTTGCTGATCTCTGACCAGCTGCTTTCTCAAGTTTTTGGTGGCATTTGAATTGGCAGTGAGAAACCTTTGTGCTTTTTTTTAATTCAATCTGGAAACAAAAGCAAGATGTTGTTTGAAATTCTCACAATTCTCTACTAACAAATCACAACTTAGATTCAAGATTTAGGTTCTGATTTCATCCTCTCTTAATGAAAAAGCACTTTGAAGTTTACTATCAAAATTTTTGCAGGTTCAATGACAATGTGGCAATGTGTCTGCAAGGAGTCTCAAAAATTGCCACAACTTGTATGGATGGCTTTTAATTTAAGTGTTTCACTCTTCTCTATCTATGGTAGTTTAATTGGGGTGAGCAATGTGTACTATGTGCTCTACCCCCTGAGCCACTAAGGGAAACTGCAGGTGACATATCTAGGAAGTAGGGTTTCCTTCCCATGTGCAATAAATGAGAACAAGGAACATGGAGTACAAGAATTTTGAAGTTGTTTTCTCCACTACTAATTCAAAATAACTTTAGGATTATAAAGGTTATCTCTCCCTAGTATTTTAGGTCTTGAAATAAGCATTAGTGAGTTGGTAAGAGGAATGCTGCTTGCTCCTGGCCTTGTCAGACCACCTTTAAACTAGTACTGAACCTTCCACTGGCTTTGCAAAGTTTCTGCAGCAGTGCTGGCTGAGGCAGTTAATGGAGCAATTTATTGAATCTGACCTTCCTTCTGTCATTCCTGGCTTTGGACACCATGGCAGCTGCCATGACTTACATTTCACTACTTTATCTGGGCCTTTTCTTGTTGCAGTTTGCTGCCCAAAGGGGGCTTTCTTGAAAACACCTCCTTGATCCCTGCCTGATTTTTTTTCATTCTATTGAATATTTCATACTTCATCTCAGAAGCATTAAAAATACCATCCTTTAGTTTGGCAGCTTTAAAAACATTATTTAAACTGCAACACTTATAATCTTCTTTTACATAGGAGAGGGTTTCTGAGGGTGTTGACAGATGTGCAGCTGCCCCACTCTAACTCATGGCACTTCACAGAAAGTGATATGAGTTGAAGCATGTATCCTCTGCACCCACCCATCCAAGAGATGTTTGCTGTTGTGGGGGGGGAGGTTGGAACTGAGTTCTACTTTGAAGATGATCCAGTAGAGAGCGGCTTCCTGCCCACAGCCTCTTTCCCCCAGACTCACCCTCCACCCTCCCAGGTCTGGTGCTGTCTACAGGATGGGAGCAGGGAGAAGGGAGGGGAGAGAGCTCCAGATTGGTGTTTGCCTAGCCTGAACTGGGGGGTGCAGCGCACCCCTCCAGGTCAGGCTGGTCAAACCCCAACCTGGAACTCCCTCCCCTCTTCCCTCCTGCCCCCTTCCACCCTGCAGACAGGACCAGAGGTGAGGCTGCACTGGGCTGCATCAGGGACTGCGTCAGGGTTTTAATGAAGGCACTTTGCTTTGGAGTGCCTTTGTCTGAGCCCTCACTAGATAAGGGTTA